GTTGTGATCAGTACTGGGAATTTTAATTCCATAAAATTCTTTGAAAGTTGTATTCACAGTGTTTGTAAGCATACATATGAAGTTAACTGGCAAATTAGTATGGACAGGTAGTATCCATATATTTAATGCCATGAACAGATATTACCCTCACTAATGTCACTGGCAGTTAATTCAGAAGCTCAGATACTGACAATCAGCATTATATATTTTGGAAATTATTTGCTACTTACTACTTCTTTCCTTGTCATGATTTTTTAAAATTATTTTTGACAATTTTAAAAATAAGAAGAGACATTCACAAACACTTTGGGAAGCTTCTCCTCAAAAAGCTGAAGTCTGCCAAGTGTGTGACTTAGTTCTCGTCGTGCATTAGAACAATGGCCTTATTTAATATGACAAAGTAGACACTGTTAATGAGGTATGTCCTCTGTTTACCCCATTTATCACTGTAAAGTATAGAAGTTATGCTGCACTCTAATTAAAGGTGAAGCCAGTAGCTTGACACTTTCCAGAAGATGACCCTGTTTCAGTTTCCTGTGCTTTTGCCAAAGTATTTGGGATGAAATGTTCTGTGCTGAATAGTTGCCTGGGAAGCATTTCATTTTATTTATTTACTCTGAACTTCTCCACAGAGACTGTCCAGCCATTTCTGAGAGGGAGACTAATTTGCAATCATTTTATGGAAAAATTTGCAGTCTCTCTGCTCAAAGCAAAGAGCTTGAGATTTGGTAGCAAGCTTTCTCATATCAGAAGGATATTTTTTTTTCATATATGGAGGAGAAAAAAAGAAAGGAAGAAGAACAACTTCAATCCACAGCTCAGCAGTTGCATTCTCCACAGAGTCTGTGTGTCTCTCGGAGTAGAGAGGGAAGGAAACTATACCATCTTCAGGCGGGGAAGCCAGGAGCAAGCTAAAGCACAATATATTCCCTCGCCTGCATTGCTCAGCTGTAGGATTTCCATAGTTTCACGTGGTATGACCGCATTGCTCTGACAGTAGGTAGTCTAAGCTGAGGTTGCTTACAAATCACACTGCAGGAGGCGCCGGGGCTGAAAAACACACGTAGGAAAGACAAAGAGGTCTTTCCGAAACCAGGACTGATGAAGTTAGTGCAAGGAGGAACTTAAACACACAAAAACTGTGTGAAAAGAATGTCATAGGTAGCAGAGAAACTCAGAGACATCCAGGTTGCACATCCAGAAGCATTAGTGTTAACAGGGCCTGTGCATATCAGCGCTGTATTAGGTCATTTATTATGCACTCATGGGATGTCTTGTCACGTAAGATGGACAAATTTACGAAAGGTGAAGTACAGTTATGCAAGAAAGGGATTCGTATAGAGAGCAAAGTTGTATCTTAAATGGGTGGAGCATTGCACAGCGGTATCGGAGGGTGTTAAGGTTAAGAAACTTGAATTCTGCCCTACAAGACTGAATCCTTCACATCACAGAGTTTTGGGTAGTTCTGAATGGTGCTATAAAATGCTGAGCACTCTGAAAAATTCAGTTCTCAGGTTGCAAGTTTGCACCCAACTGTTATTCCTATCCTACACTGAACATGCGTTGTGTGCCATGTGATGTTACTCAGCCGAACTTTTTGAACAATCCTCCAGCGTTTGTTATTCACCCAGAGCTATTTAGTACCTTAGAAATGAAACTCCTTTTCCACTGACAGAACCTCAGTACCTTATTTCACAAGCATGCGGCAGTGAAGTGATTTCTTGCAGTGTTACAGCTGTGAGCAGTCTTGGGACACTAAATACAAAAGCATTGTTCCTGCAATACAAGTTGTCTCAGAGAAGGTTGCTATAGTGAGACTTAGGTCAACCAGCGCGGTGTTTTCATGCTTACTAGGCTAAGCTTTTGCAAGTATTTCTGTGTAATTGATTGGTAATATATGCATATATGCACAGATTCAAGTAAAGCACAAGAAGCTGGCTGAAACTCCTGAACAGCTCTGCAAAGCAGCGTGTGCGCGGTCCTGATTTAAATGGGGAGCTGTGCTGCATATTGAGGGGCACATCAACAAAAGCTAGCAGATGGGGCTAAGGCCCTCTCTTGTAAATGTTTGCTTAAGTTAGCAGAACACTAGTGAAACATGCCACAAGGAGTTATTTAATGTCAAGAGAAAATGGTTCTAGTTATATTACTACTAGGCATGCGTTGAGGTTCATTAACCTGTCAGCTCTGCTCGTAGTTCTCAGAAATGAGCTGTGACCTGGTGCCATTCAGTGCACTAGCACGAATACAAGTACAGCGATAACATTGTATAGAAGGGCAGCCAAAACTAACATCATCTTTGCATTTCCTGAAGACACTCGTTGCCAAAGTGTCTAGGACTTTGGCAAAGTCAGAGGTAGTCCTCATGGGCACAGTAGCTGCTGATTCATTAAACACTTAGCTTGTGACAATTCCACAGAATTTGCTGTATAGGTTAGAAGGGATGCACTGATTATTTGGTTACTCTGTCAGAGAAATGTGTCTGCTTGAAATCATGGTCTTACTAGTGAATTACTTTGCTCAACACCAGCATTTGGCTTAAATAAAACAAAGTTGTCATCTCTTCAGAGCAAGTATTTATATATTGTGCTATATCAGATTGAAACTTGGCATGTACCTGCTGATATTCAGTTGTGTCTCAGCACAGAGTAAAAATAGCATTATCTGGCCCATATATAATAAGTATTGCCAAAGGAAAGTGGTTTTACCTATCAGAAAAAAATAAGCCCAAATCTTGCATATAAAACACACCGGTAATTAGAGTCATTGAATCATAGAATTGTTAAGGTTGGAAAGGACCTCCGAGATCATCGAATCCAACCTGTTAACCTAACTGCTTTGTCCACCTCTAAACCATGTCCCTAAGCATCGCATCCACACGTTTTTTGAATACTTCCAGGGACTGTGATGGTACCACTTCCCTGGGCAGTCTGTTCCAACACCGAACCAAATTAGACATGCCTTCAGTATGAAAGTTTGATTCATTATGTTTTTGCAGCAATGTACTTGTCGTACAGCATTGCAATAGCAATTAGTAACAGTAGTAACACGGAAAGGAGTATTAACTCTAATCAGTGTTAACCCAGGTTCCTTGAATAAATTCTTACTAGCATTTATAATACTACAGGGCCTTTTATTCAAATAGTAGCTGTGTTTGAATGATGTTGGTAAATGTGTGCGCATCAGGGGAAAAGAAAAAAAGAGAAATGCTCTCTTAGTTCTCCTTCCCACCTCCTTTCCAGTGGGAATTCAGTAGCTGCAGAAGACAGACTGGCTGTTCTCAGTCATCACTGGTACAACTCAAAGTGATAGATAAGGTCCTCTTGTACTTTTCCTGTAGCTCCATCCTTAGGTCAGGAACCCAGCATGTGAGTAAGGCTGCCAGGTGGTACCTTGGCTTCTCTCACAGGACAGAAACCCTGATTTCTGATCTCCTACAGCCTTAACACAGACTTCTGGTCAGATAGCTACTTTCCTAATCTCAGATACAGCTCAACAATGAGTGCTGTCTCCATCTCTTTCCTCTTGGCTTCTCCCCCAAAGCAGATGAAAACAACGTAACAGCAAGTTTATATGAGTCAAATAGATAAAATTTGCTGCTTTTCCAGCCTGTATTGTAGGTATTGGTATTGTTATTACTATTGTCATGCCTTCTAGTGGAAGGTGACTCTGCGCCTGGCAGGGAGGTTGGAACTAGATGATCTTTAAAGTCCCTTCCAACCCAACCCATTCTATGATTACTATGAATATCAGAATATGATATCCTGCCATCAGTGTCCCTATTTGTGTCACCTTACAGCTAGTCTACAACAGTTATACTGAAGCATGAGCTGATGGTACGTAGAAGGCTATTAGTTATTGCAGAATAATACAATCTGTCTCTTCAGCTGCTATTTGAGGGCATCAGGTTTATTTCTCTGCAGTGGCTTTGATGGGTGGTCTTTGTCGTTATCATTAAAGCACTCTTGGTCTAGCCCTGAATGTCTGAGTAATCATCTCCTGGCCTAGGTTGAAGACTGTGAGCGTAAAAGCCAGGCTTGAGCTCCCTGCAGCTTTGGTTCCCATTCAGTCTTCTACTTCTTGGATAGTAAGTTGGCTGTGAAATAAGCCAGTGTGGGCATGGAAATTAAAGTTAAACCTGATGTTTACAGAGGGAACAAAGTGTGTTGCCTGCAATCTATTATTGTTGCCCAGAGACTAGAGAGGATGGGGATCACTGATCTACAGAAAAGGTTGCTGTCACACTTACAAGAACTCATCTAGCACGGGACTGAACTCCTCTGGACATTAAGGATTTTTGCAAGTTCCATCATGTGCTGCTTTGCATGCACGTTATTTTGTGTTCTGGAGTATAAATATCCAATACCGTATACATTTAAAAATAAAAAAGAGCAAAACTAAAACTCTAACCAAAACAATACTAAAAAGCACCCTTGCACAAAACAAGACTCTCTGTGTGGGAGAGGTTGTTTTGAAAACATTATTCAGATTGTTTGATGTATCATAGAGGGTACTCGCACTTCAGCGAGGAGTGCGCTTTTAAGAATTTACATACAGTTTGTTTAGTTGCTCCATGAATATTAGCATTTTTGTCCATTTAGAAAGATATTGTAGCACCTTTCTAGACAGTTGCAGAACATCTTTACAGAGTGAAGTATTAGTCTTTCTTGCTAAAGATGATTTGGAAAAACAGTAAGAACTAAATTGTTGACTAATATAAATGAGTACAGTTCATTTTAGTCTTCATCACGTTTCAATTAGCCCAGTTCAATGACATGTCAGCTGATGGCATTACTTCCTTGCTATATGTAATGGTGTAAACTGTCACACCTTTTTTGTCTTCAAGCAGAGATACCGCATTTCAAGTGACCTGCTTTGGGCTGCTGTTCAAAATTTGAGAATGAATTGTACAATTCATTTTACCTTGACTGCGAGATCCAGCTGGTAAACTCTGTTTGTGGGTAGTCATATCATTTTATTTATTTGCTTCATTTCTATAGGGCACTTACTTGGGCTCTCCCATGATGACTCCAAATTTTGTGAGGAGAACTTTGGCTCCATGGAAGATAAGCGCCTGATGTCCTCCATTCTGACTAGCATCGATGCTTCAAAACCCTGGTCCAAATGCACTTCAGCAACTATAACAGAATTTTTTGATGATGGTCATGGTATGTATTATCACACTTTGTGTCAGCTACATGTTAGTTTTTACTGTGATCTATTTGTTTAATAAGAACATTTTATACCAGCTTGTTCATTCCTCGCTCATCTTCAGGACTATCTTGGAAGTGCTTGCAAAACAAGGGAAAGGTCTAAAAGGCTGGCAGAGTCTCACCCTCCCTTTGCATGGTTGAAATGCAAGGGAGAAGAAAGAGTTGATGGAGTGTGTGTTGGCAATAATTTGGTTTGGAACATGGAGAGGTTTTTTTAAAAGCATGAAATTAGTCTTGTCTTCCCAAATGCCACAGATATGAGCTCGGAGAGTACTTTAAACAGAGGACACAAGGAAATGGCTTTTTCCTCACAGAAATTAAAGTGGGTGACACGGTCTACTTAGCATTAGACTACAGGTATGAGCAGAGTGTATGTGTTCTTGTTACCATTAATGACATTTATTATGTTTATAATGCCATTGTATTTATTGTTTATGTAGACAGGCTGTAAGCAAGAATTAAGACTCCTCTGTGCTGCATATGATAAAAGATTACTTCTGCCCCAGGAGCTTACCTTCCAAGTCATGTAACTAATATTTGTTAAATATGTCATTTACCCTTTGGAGAATAAGTGCAAAACTTTCATTTTCCAAAGGCAGTAATAAAAAAGCATAGTCTTCACTCTTTAATGAATTTTAAAGTCTTCATTGTGCTCCCAAAGCAACTGCTGTTCTTAAACAAACCATTCAAATTCCAAAATGCTGAGATAAAAATGACATAATTGAGTGAATGGATCAAGTTGTTATGGTAACCAAAATGCTTATGGATAAAAAGTATGGTATGTCTGCTGAATGTAAAGGGTTTTTTTGCTTCTAAATATTTTGTCGGCTAATTTCAGTGCTCTCTGAAATATTTTCTCCTATTTTCCTCTATTGGAGAATGACTTCATTTTTTCTCTCAGTTTTATTAGATCCATTAATCTGTGCTGTCCTGTTTTATGATCCATATTGCTCTGGCATTGACTTAATATTACCAAGTTAGTTTCCACATATGAAGAGAACTTTCCTTTTCGAGTTTAGTTACTGAGGTACAGTACAGTTCACTGGGGTAAAAAAAAGGGACCTCCCTTGCCATCCATGAATGATCTCTTAGAGAGCACAAGGAACACTGAAAAACATTTTCTCTTCTGTTCCTCTCCTGCTGCAGGCGAGTAGAAAGGTTGTTCTAATTTTTTCCCTTTTTTTGTGACCTGACTTCTTCTCTTTACTATGCATCCAGCTGGCTACTTTCTCCAACAATAACGAAAGCAAAGAGAGCGTTTCTCCCACCCACCTCACCTTTGGCTTGTTCGTACCTGGGGGGATGCTTGAAATTTGGACCCTTATCCATGAGCTGGACCCAGTCTCAATGTGAAAGTAAGGCGGGGCTGTAACAGTCAGTCCTACAGGTCTAAGAATATAACTGCCAGTTTTTTCCAGTAAAAGTAGGTAGGAGCTCCAGATCCTTCAGAGCTGCGTTATGGTCTCCTTGTTCAGCATAAGTGCTGTTTTCCTGTACACGAAGTTTAGCAGTCCTCAACTGCTTACACTTTTCACAAAGTCTTGTATTCTTTGCTGCATGTAAAGGGCTTAGGATCTGTCAGTCTGTTAATGCATAGGTTAGGGTACATTGCCCTTTCTAATACTCATGAGTAGTTATCACTCAGGCATGTAGTCTCAAAGAGTTATCGATGTGATGAAATCATTCACAGAAAATTTGAACTTCTCATCATAGAAGTCCATAGTCCTCTGGGAATTAGTTCTACTGATGCTATTGGTGTGATTTCAAATATACAATGTTTAGGGAATCTCTTTTCTTGAAAGATCAGGCCTTCAGAAACCTTTTCTAAGTAACAGTCTTCATTTTCTGTTGAAGTTTATAATTTTTCAGTTATTTATCTTAAATCAAAGATTTGTCTTAACAGAACACAAACACTATCTATGAAGTAAAAATGGAAGTCAGTGATTTAAATTGCAGTTTCCTCAAATTATTGTGCTGAAAGGACATGCATTATTTTAAGAAGGGAACTTCTGGTTTTATTTTGTTCTTCCAGCCAGTGAATGAATCCATAGCTCCATAATTCCCATTTGTAATGTACGCTGAGTGTACCAGAAACCGCAGGATCCTAGTAGAGCATGACGCTGCCTTTCAGACTGCTTTGGGCTGATAATAAAACAGTGCAAATGTGCCATATTTCCGTGTTTCCTTCAGAATAGGCATGTGTCTGCTTTTTGGGTTGCTCATTTTTTTCCTTAGCTGGGGCAGATGTACTGTCGTGTAGTTGCAGTGTTTTCCCTCCCTTTTTGTTTTCAAGAAGGTGCTCCCCTGCAGTCTTCCCATAGAAAGAAGAAAATCCTCTCTCTCTCAAGTGCTGCTAGGCAGAGGAAAAAACCCTTAACCATTCAGGTGAAATTTTGAGCAGTGCCGCAGGCATGATGTAGAGGAGGAAGGCACAAAGTAGCAGTTGCAATGAAAGAATACAGATATTCATATGCCAGGCTTTCTTTTAGGATGTTTGTGACCGGATTTTGCATAGTCACAGGAAGCTTATGTGGGAAACACTGAACAAGAGGAGACTCTTCCATTCTCTAATAGGCAGCATAAGCAGATTGCACCGGGGTTTTGGTCTGAGCGGGCATGAGCTCATGAATTGTGCTTTGTGACAAACAGGGTATGGCAGCATTGGTGTGGGGAAATAAATGAAGTGCTTCATCTGCTGCTGCCTATGGCTAAGCATAATGAAATGTGAATGATTTCCAGAAGTTTGGATCTGTGAGCAGTATTCTACTACAGAAGAACAGTCAATGTCTTATCAAAGCTTTACGTTTCCCATATAGATTTAGATGTTCACCCCATACTGCTGTAACAGCAAACATCACAGTCTTGACTCTCTAATTCCTTAACCTCACTTTGTCAAATACTGATGTTCCTGTTTTCTAAATTTGGAAAGTGGTGCTGGGGAGTGGACTCATCTTATAAAATGTGGGTATTAACTATGTAGGTAGCTACTCCTAAACTGGGTATTTAAGTTCCCATCGTAGTGCAGAGGGGCCTAATCAATGGCATCAATGGTTTGACTGATCTCATGAGTTGCATTAGTGATGCTGAATTACACCATAAACTCGTTTGCCTGAGTAGTGAAACATCTGACAGCTGACTGAATTGCAGACACCAGCATTACATACAGCTAAAGTCAGCTAAATAAATCCCAATATAAATGTCTTGTCCATGGTCAAACAGGAGGTCTGGTGAGGATCAAGGTGCTGATTCCCTGTCTCCTGAGGCCCACTCTGAGAACTATAAACATCATTGTCATATCACCATTTGTTATACACCCAGGAGATAACCCCAAACAGCAGTTTGACATTTAGGAAGAAAAGGCTGGGTTAGTGTCCAGAAGACAGTGACATTTATTTCCATCTGCTTTTAGCCAACCCTCTCCTAAGGTACTAATTGCCTTTATTGTCATGCCAACCACGAGGCTGTGGTATGATTGCTTGCGATTTATAGTGTTTGTCAGAGTGCTCGGTGCTCTGTGCAACCTGAAACAAGGACTACTTCTATTGAAATTAATTTATATCCTGCTTATCTGCTTTCTGCACAGATCTTCTTCTGCCTTTTTCTCCCAAGATATATTGCACATAACATTGAGGAGAGATAATGAGATGGCTTAATTAACACTGTCATCAGACAACAATGTTGCTCTGTTCCAGGGCACACAGATGTTCTTTGGTACTCAGGACAAAAAATGGGAATAGCAGTATATACATGCTCTGTATGTTGCAATGTCATGTAGTGAATTGAAGCGCTCTCTGCCCCTCTCAACCAGGGGGCCCAGGGCAAACCATTCTCCAACTTATCTCTGTCTTTTCTGACCATTACAAGTAGGAGGTTGGACCAGCTGGTGGTGAAAACACCTGCACTGCACCTGCAACCTGTCTAAACATAGATTACCACTGCTACTATCTGTAAATGTAAAGATTTTTTTCTTCCTGTGGGTAAGCCTTAGGGGCCTTTCCTACCTTCAGTTTTGAATTTATCATGTGAGATCAGCTGGAACACCTGGCTTTATAGACATTATATGTGTTTCCTCAGAGCAGTATCGGTTAAGGAGAACTTTGGATCTCATTCCCCTGTATTCTGAAGGGGAAAAATGCTATATTTGCTTTGTAAGCTTGTGAAACCTGTTTGTTATTCACATGTGAAAGATATTCAAATGGGTGTTAACTCAAATGATTGACAAATCAAGTACATGCAAGGATATGACTTTTTTCTTTTTTCTCTAAATTTATATTTCCAGTCACATCAGTCATGGTAGATCCCAGTGATGGGCAGCAGTGTCCGTCATGGCAAAATTATGTGTTATTACGATGTTTTAAAATACTGAATAATGGTTGCACTTGGGAGTTTGTTAAATGCTGCAGTATATATGCAACAGTAGTGTCTACCACTAAATGTTAACATGCTAGTGCCTTCCCATCACCACCCTAACACCAGCTTCCTCCCCCATCACAAGACATACGAAGTAGGGCTTCTGCTGCTCTTTGCTGTTACAGAGTGTATTTTTGACAGCAACTTTTGCCAATTACGTCCTTCTCAGAAACCCCAGAAAAAAAAAAATCTGTGCTTCCTCACTCTTCACCATGAATTTATATTTTACACTACAACAGGCTTTGAATGCTAGGGTACCTTTAATTATCTTTATCTCATGGCACTTAGCTCATCAGTTAGCATTGGCACACCTTGTCTTCATTAAAAAAGTCAGCATAATTCAGATTAAAGATAAGGCTAGGGTAAATCAGAGTCAGCAAAGGACAAATGGAACAAGTTTAACAAGACAGAGAGTTTTTTGGTAGTAAGTGATGATGCAGAAAGAATATTTGGCTGATTTGGCTAATTGGCTTTAGTCTTTAGAGGGAAAAAAAGAACAGCTGCAGTTAAGTGTGTGTTCTGGAGGGAAAATACAAGCCATGGAGAGACGGGGTATTTGGCTTGTTTAAATTCACTGCCATAGCTTGAAATTCTATTCCATTTTTGTGTAAATAGTGAGGATTTTATAGATAGCCTTTTTTTCACCCATGATTCAACTGAAGAACACTGGTGTAGGTTCCAAAGTGAGGTAAATTGTGGTAAGTTATTTTGGCCAAGGATAAGTGAAGCTTGCCCAGACCACATATCCCTTTCATGAAGTGTAAAAGAGGTTACACTGAATAAATAGTTCGGCATGTCAACAAGTAATTTTTTCAATAGTAAAAAAAAAAAAAACTATCAGTAGATCCTCTAGAACCTAAATGTGAATTCTCATTTTTAGAGTGTGCCAGACAAATCTTGACCTCTGCGGTATATCTCAAAACACATATTCAATTCTTTATGCTTATGCTATTTTTTCCTTTTCTTTCTGTTATTTATGTATTTTTGTATAAAATGGATAGCCCTCTTCAAACTAATTTCAGAAGCAGCCAAGTATTATTCCTTACAAGGAAAGCCCAGTGCAGATTTACCGCCAACATTAGTTTTGATATGCAGCTTATATTTTTCCTTTGATCTGCTGGGGTTTTTTTCTTTTATTTTTCTTTTAAGTGCCTCATTGGCTACAAGTCTGGTTTTTGTGATTTTTTCTGGCATCCCTTTAGAAGCTTTACCATTTCTGACGTTCTGTCTCAAAATTCAAATGACAACTTTGCTTACTTTGCCATGAGCCTTGATCATTCCTTAAATCACAAACTGATAAATAGAGTGGAATGTGTTCAGAGTCAATTCAAGTAAAGGAAACCAGGATGAAAGGCCAAAGGGACCTGACTAAAACTCATTTACACCCTCAGACTGGAAATAGGCAGCTCGACACCTGGTGTGCTGCTGAGTGACAACACTGTCACGATAGTATGACCTTGTCCAAAAACTGATGACACCTCAGAGAGCCTTTCCATTCATGTCAGCATCCTTTGAATGAGGTTCACTGTCATTATCAATCTGCCTAACTTGAATGACAGATTTGTAGCACTGCAGAGAAAGCTAGGAAATGAGTAATAATAGGTTGCTTTGCTCTTTTAGGTAACTGTTTGCTGGACCAACCGAGAAAGCAGATCCTGGGCCCCGAGGAGCTTCCGGGACAAACCTACGATGCCATTCGTCAGTGCAAACTGGCGTTTGGACCCGAATACACAGTGTGTCCTGGTATGGACGTGTGCTCTCGCCTCTGGTGTGCAGTTGTGCGCCAAGGTCAGATGGTTTGTCTGACTAAGAAGCTGCCTGCTGTGGAGGGAACACCATGTGGAAAAGGGAGGATCTGCCTCCAGGGAAAATGTGTTGACAAAACCAAGAAGAAGTACTACTCAGTAAGTTACCAGCTGTGACCCTAGGGAATTTTAGCAGGCATGATCCTCAAAGGCACTGATTTTTGTGGGAGTGAAAGGGACTTTATGGAAGCAGATTGAAAGCTGCCTTATTTTTTAGCATGTAATTGGAGTGTTATTGGCAAGGGCTATAGGAAAAATGCTGCTGAATTTGAGGAGGCATGTTTTCTTCTTGAAGTATGAAAGCCTTAATTCCTGGGAAACTGGGAGCATCCCGTCAGAGTAGAGGATGTGCCCATTCAGTAAGTCAGGTCTCAGGACATACAGAAAGATTGTCAAGGACCTATTCTTAGCTTCCTGACTTCTTGGCAATGGACTGCAAGGTAAATTAAATCTCTAAATTTAATTTACAGCCCTCATCTGAAAGGCCCCGGGACTCTAACTCTAGTGAAGAGAAAGGTGGATGAAGTTCATCCAGAATATAATTTCTGGAGCAGAAAAGTTTGCACCTCCAGTGACAGAGTCCCCTCTGTCAACTTTATACATCTGAAGAGTCCCCAGGCTCATGAGAACTGTAAACTGCCCAATTCAGATACTTGTAAATTTACTGGGTAAACAGTAGCACTGCCCCTTCTGTTACACCCACAGAAGAGGTATGGACTTGTAGAGCTTTGTGAAGATACTTGCAAACTATGAGAGTCATTCAAATCAAGCTACAGCCCTTATAACGCCCTTTTTATGGAATTATATACTTCTACATGCTGTTGCAATACTCCTTCTAGGTAGCCAATTTAGCAGAGTTGCAAACTACATCTGACAACTCCATCTCTTACCAGCAATTCAGAGCAATACCTACACATCACAATAATTGCATTTAATTAATCATAGATTAGCCTTACGAATATATTCTGGAAGCCGAATGCCCTGCAGCGAGTTTAAGGGGCTCTATTGGTAGGAATAGCAAAAAATAAGAGAGCAGCACATGAGACTATGGGTGCTATTTCTGGTGCATGGGTGTCTTCCATGAAACAGGCTGAAGGCGGCTGTGCAGAGCAAGGCCTCATATTGCCTTTGCATGCGCAGTGCCAATGAGATGTCATCAATGTGCAGATAAACGACAGAAATTAACTCTGCTGGGAGAAAGAAGGCTCCTAAGATCTGTTATCCCTGATTAAAATGACCAAGGAATCACCTTCAATTGAGGAAAACATTAGCAGTGTCTTTGCGATGTAGCACCTTTATTCACACTTGGATGACGTCCTTACCTCCCACTGTTCCATATATTTCAGGCTTCCAGCCATGGTAACTGGGGGTCCTGGGGACCCTGGGGACAGTGCTCCCGTACCTGTGGTGGAGGAGTTCAGTTTGCTCATCGTCACTGCAATAATCCAGCTCCTAGAAACAACGGCCGGTACTGCACCGGCAAGAGGGCCATCTACCGCTCCTGCAACGTCGCACCCTGCCCAGCAAATGGTAAGTGCCTTCATGCCAAAGTGCCTTCGTGCTCCAGCCTCTATGTTCATAGATAGTAAATATTGAATATCTGCTGTGAAAGGAAACAACAAAGGTCCATTGTAGTTTTTCCAAAACATATTTACCAAGGCAAGACATTCATCATTAATACAATACCGTAATTCTTCCCCCATCCCCACCCTGACGCCATACAGAAAGGACCCTTGAATGAAAAGAAATTTCAGTCCTGGAAAATGAACTGTAATGCAAACTTTAGTCCTTTAATGCTTATTATGTCATGGGAAGATTTCCAAGCTAAAACAGTTGAAGGATTTGAAGGTGAGTTCTAAATAAAGAGGTGAAGTGACGTAACTTAAAAGTTATGTAAAAAAGAAATTGGAATAATAGATGGGCATGATGATATTTGCAGCATGGTCTGAAATAGTCACTAATGATGTGAATAATTCTGCAGCTAAATCTTTTCGACAAGAGCAGTGTGAAGCAAGGAATGGCTATCAGTCTGACGCAAAGGGTGTCAAGACATTTGTTGAATGGGTCCCCAAGTATGCTGGAGTACTTCCTGGAGACGTTTGCAAGCTCACCTGCCGAGCCAGAGGAACTGGCTATTATGTGGTGTTTTCTCAGAAGGTAATGGCATCTCCAATCATGATTTCATGCTCCAGTTTAGAAGTGTCCTGTATCTTCGAAATCTTTCCCT